TTAATTCTTTGCCTATATTTGTCTCTGGAAACTGTTCATAATTAGAAATAATATCTACATTGTGGATCATTGATATCCCCTTTTCTATGTCAACTTGAGAAATCAGGAGCATTTTTTTCTAGGACATTCCTTTTCTTACTGGTCAATAACTTCCATGGTTTCAGTGGTGGGGTACTGAGATGTGTGCTTTATTATACATATAATCTGATCCCTCTCATAGTTTTTCCACTCATATTTTTTTAAAAAAATAGCTAAAACCTAAATTTATTCTTTATCTAATATACCCATTTGTCAGAGTTGTCTTCCTAGTATCCCCTTCTCACACAGTTCCCAACTTACATCAGCAGTCTTTCCCAGATATGTCTGCTTACACAGGGACAGATCTCTTAGCACACATAGCAGTAGCAGTGTTGCCTCTATAAATTATCCACATTGTTTCTTTGTTGAATTGTGACAACCATGGCAATTATAAAATATCAACCTATCCATAAGGACAGCAACTGCATTACATAAGGAAAATATTGCTGTGCAGTGAATTGCCCTGGAGACATCTACTATCCCTATGACCCTATATTATTGATATGTCTCACAATCCTCAGTACTTGCCATTCCCCTGCCAGTACCCTCCCACAGCAGAATAGAGACAATGAACCATGTAAAAAATACCAGTGCAAACTCTACCTGTCTATCACTATTGTTACAGTTGCATGTCTCATTCTCCAACTCAAGGACAACATCAGTTCTCTTCCTAAACTCATACACATTTTTTCATTATGTACCAGATGCTACAAGTGCTGCTAAAAGTCCACCCCTTGGTGAGAAAAGTAAAGACTGTCTAAAAATTTCCCCTGTGGTAACAATGAAAAATCAATTTACAATCGCATCAATATTTGCTCTGATTATCAAATGAGGATCCTGGGCTTATAAGCAAAACATAGTTGATGGACTACTTACTAGAGTGTGGGAACTCCAACATAAAAGGTGCACCAGAACATATCATGGCTTTCCCATAGGTGCGTATTTATAGTCTTCCTTCATTCATCTTCCCTGAAATACTCATAAATTACTTCTTTGAGGACATATTATTAAGGCAGAGTTGCATAAAATAGGTAGGAGGGAGAGGGTGGATACTCCAGCAAGGGTATTGTGACTCTGCTCACTCTTCTATGTGGGCATGGACAGAGCCATCAAGAAAAGCTAAGAGCATCTTCCACCAGCTGGCACAGCTAAACTTTGTAAGATGTCAATTATATGGCTGAGATGACAGTTCTGTGTAAGTCACCTGCCAAAATCTCTGGGTAACAAATAGAATTATCAACCAAATGGAGAGAAACTTGGACCTTCCCTCACAGGCTTGCTTTTGGTGCTTGTCACATTCCTGTATTGGTCTCACATCAGCAAGTTGGAGGTCTTCCAGGGAGAAAGTCACTAACTCTTCATGCCCTAGACATATTACTTGTGTTACTTGGCACTGAGTGTAAGATCAGCCAATATAATCTAGTTACATGTAGTTTACTGATATTTTGGAATATTAATTTAAGATGTGTTACATTCATTATGCTGTGGAATATTTGTTAATGATGCAAAGATATGTTGTATTCTTTTATGTTGCATTTGCTTAACTCTGTAAAGCTGTGTTACTTTTTCTGCTTATATAAAACACCTTATCTGTCTAATAAAGAGCAGAAAAGCCAATAGCTAAGCAGGAAAGAGAAATAGGCAAGGCTTCTAAGCAGAGAGAATAAATAGGAGAAGAGAATGGAAAGGGACAAAGAAAAGGAGGAGAGGACACCAGGTTCCAGCCACACAACCAAACACCCAGCCATGGAGTAGGAAGAAAAGAAATATGCATAAAATAAAGAAATGGAAAAAGCCCAGAGGCAAAACATAATTAAAGTGAAATGGGATAATTTAAATTAGAAAAGCTGGGTAGAAACAAGCCAAGTTAAGCCTGAGCATTCATAAGTAAGGATAATTTCCATGTATTTATTTGGGATCTGGGTGGCAGGCCACCAAAAAAGTCAAAAAACAAACTACACACTGGAATTTTCAAACATACTAGTCAAGTTACAAACACATGGTGGATGTGCATTTAGGACACTGCTCTTTGTTCACAACTATCCAGTTTTCAAAATGAATTGCCTATTAATATCTACTTCTCTTATTATATTTAATACAAAACCATGAGCTCAAGTGTTCAAGTTTTTATCAATTAGCTCCTATAATGAAAGTAGTCAAAGAGAAGGTGGGAGGTCAAAAGGAGAGGTCTAATACCATACCAGGAGAGGGTATCTGAATTTGTCAAAGACATGCTAGTCTCAAGAATCACATGATATGAGGGATCTATGGAAAATAGTGATTTATCAATGCTGTAACAAAGATCTAGCTACAGAGATAAAACTCAAAGTAAGCTAAAGGACAGTGTCTAAGTTGGAACTCTATTATTAGGGACAGAATAGAAGTGAAACTTGATGGTATGCTTCACTATTCTTCACTATTACCTATGCAAAACAATAATTTAAAAGAATCAATACAGGATGTCAGAACAGAGCAGTCTGATTTTTAGATCCAAAGTGCTTAATGTTTTCTTGTTCTTCTGATTGAGTGGGACTGACTAGTTGTACCCAGACCTAATGCATCTCATTGTTGCTTGTAGTAGATGCTCTGAACATGCCTCCTTTATTCAATTCATGTAACTTTCCATAATTTCAAATCATTGCTTGTCAGTGTTAGAGATTAAAAAAAACAATTATTGAGAGTAAATATTCTTTTGACGTTTTTTCAAAATCATTATCTGAAAACAAGCAAATAAGTAATGGGTAAATAATTTTCCATATGTACCTAGGTTCTACTGTTAGTGGCATGCTTAGATTGATTATGTCACAGGATATAGAATATGAAAACAAAAGTGTATATGCCCAGTACCTAATGAGGTAATAAAACAAAGCTGTCATTGTGGAGCAAAAGAATAAGCCATCTCATTATGATTTTAAAATTTGTGGTTGGAAATGTTACACAGAAACCTTAAGCATTAAGATACACTGATGTCCTAACATTTCCATACTCCTACCCAAGCAGCCTGATCCTTATATTTTTTCTGGTTCTTACTGGCAGGAGACTATCTAGCACCTGGCTCTGAGCTGCAGCAAATTCAAATGAGCTTCTAAATTGTAGATATCTTATCGAGTCACAAGCATGTAGAAACTGATAAGTCTCCTTTGAACAAAGTAAATAAATTTCCCCCTTGGACTGAATTTTCTTGTACTGCAGAAAGAACCCAGGGCTTCAAGTATCCAGTCAGGCTTTCTTCATATCGTGAAGCCACACAATTATATTTCTTAGCATTTTTTCCCTTCTCTCACAACATCAATGGGACCTGTAGAATCTAGTGTCTTTGGCAATGGAAGGAGAGTTCTTTGCACACATAATGGGGATGGAAGGAGCCTCAGTGGATAAGGGGCACATGAATAGAGAGGACAACTGAAAATTAGTAACTGTCATCTGCCATACAGTCCAGATCAACAGACCCTGTCCCTGCTGGACCATGTAATCCCCTAAGAAGTCATACATTACATCGTATATGGGTAACACAAGAAAGTAAGGTACAGGAGCCCAATTGTACATTAGCACTTTGGTGATAACACTTTGAGGGAATATGTTCATGTCTCTCCTCCTGAGATCTCTATGGATGTAAGGGACTACCTGCAAGAAGCTATGTTAGTTCTAGATAAACACTTAAATATTCTGAGGGCCACCACCCCTGAAAAGATTTCCTATGCAGGGATAGGACCATCCCATATAACTCTCTCAAGCCACCTCTTATTGACTTTCAGGCCTTGGACAACTTGAACTCAAAGCACACTTGGTAACATTTACTATCAGAACATCAAAAATTTAAGACTACTTTTGCCTGAAAAAAACAGAGTTATGTAGAAATTTCCCTTTGTCCAGAAAACATAGTCCTAAGTGGTAACCTGGAGGATATTGGTCAATTTGATAATTGCTGAATTAATAATTTCTATGGAAGACTAGAAAATGTAATGTTGTAGAAAGAAAAATTAACAATGCTTTCTAATATTACTTATAAGTAGAGCGGCCTTAAGTCTAGGTGAGCTTTAGGTTCTAGATGTTTCAAAAGGCCCCTAGGTCTTCCTATTTCCCTTATTCTTGTCTAGACATCTCCCATGGGTCTTTCCTCATTTCTCCTTGAATCTCTTCTAGGAATAGAAATCCCCAATGTCAGCAAGCTTACTTATGTTTTCCATGTCCACATATGTCTCTGAAGGTCTCCTTCACTCTGTCAATGCTGGAATATCTAAATCAAACAGCAAGTGAGCAAGCAAGAGAAAAAGAGATAGAGACAGAGACAGAAACAGAGACAGTGTAACACAGAGAGAGAGACAGAATGGGAGAAAAAGTAGGAAGAGTAGTGTGAGGAAGATGTAAGAAATAGAAAAGGTGGAGAAGTGGAAGGAATTACTATCTTCTTTGCTTGACATGGCTATTTCAAAGTGAATTCACAAAAAAAACATGAATTAAGACGGAGGGAGGAATTTGAATGTTATATTACAATTTATTGTTGAGGGGCTGCAGATATAGATTCATAGAAGATTGATGTCCTCTCATATGTGAGACAACAGGTTCTGTCCAAACATGAAAGAAAATATTTAGAGAGATTGGTAATGGGAGATACTATTATGATACACTTTCTATCAATTTTGTTCCTTTAGAAACCCTAAATAATATAGAGTTTTTGTTTGTTTGCTTGTTTGTTCATTCATTTGTCTTTGAAAATTATAGTGCAGTGGGCAGTCTTCCAAAATGAATTGTGGAAACACTATGTCAGCTACTTTTAACTACTTTTCTGTAGTGTCATTGTTTCCCATAACTTGTTTGTTAACACAATAACTACTGAGTAGTACCGACATCTGTATTACCTCTTGATTGTTCAAAACAAATTTTCTCTGTGGCTTTGTGGTCAAAGCATGGCAATTACTCACAGTCTTTCCATTTTTCAAGGTTGATGTGGATCATGGGCAAGGTTGAGGACTGAACCATCAATAGGACAGGGTCATCTTTCAAGTTCATTTTGTTGTTCAACAGGTTGGATGCATGTCCATTCAGGATCAATTCTGGTTAATAAAAGAAGTATTTAAATAATTAATACAAATATTTTAGTAAACATATTTAAATAAATAATATATGTAATACATCGTAAATATATCATATATATGATTTTGACTTTTAAAGTAGTCAAAGATTGAATACAGAAAATAACATACATTTCCATAGGCATGTGAATGAAATGGAAGTAAAACATAAAGAGGATATGAAGAAGAAAAAGTCAAGCGTAAGGGTAGTGAAAGATTGTATTCTAGCATTTGGGGAGACTTAAGAATTCCTTCAGTGGTTATTGCACTGCCTTTCTACACAACATGATTAACTTAATTTCAGAGAGCAATTCAATTTCACAAAATTAATGTGGAGAGCAATAAAAAGACAGCCTGACACTGACATATCACCTCAAGAGCCCTGTTCACAAGTGTGTGGACAACTGCACAATGTACACAATTATAAATGTATATTAATACAGTGACTCACATCTCACAAAACAATCACAATACATAAAATCATTTTATATTTTAGAAAATCATTTGTGGAGTCATGGTGAAGATCTGAATTAAAGTGTTTTGTTTGTCATATGTAAGACCATGTCAATGAACCAAAAGAATCCTCAGACTTAGAGGATTCAAAACGCCTTCATCAGGTGAGGCTCAATATGATTCACAAAAGTAGGACTTTGAGTGTTAATGGTATATATAGAAACTGTCAACCATAGTTCTTCCCCCCAGGATAACAGCTGCCTGAAAATATTCCCCTACAGAGCCCTCCTTCCTTGATTAACTAAACCTACCTCCTAGTTCAGCTATATACAATAAACTGCCTTCTTGATCCATATGTGCAAAATAAATGCTTTGAGGTTTCAGGCAATGTTGATGTTCTCCATCAGGAAAACACAGATTTCCCTGGATTACTGGACTCACCCTCATTCTCAACCATGTCTAAACAACAATAGAATCCTACTCCTCAAATGTCAGCCTCCACATAATAACACAAAGGGGAAAAGCATCAGCAACAACAGAAAGAAATTGAGAAAATATAACATGCAGAAAGATAATCAATGGAGTAACAAACTTTCAAATCACACTATTTATGAGCATCTATAGTCCAGAATCTGTAAAATACCCCTTTAAAGTTTTCAGGGGTATGACTTAATTAAAGCAGTATATTCAATGTATAGAAATTTCTCCAAAGTAGCTATAGAAATATGCAAGGAAACAAAAACTTTCAATATTGTTTTAGTCAAATGTAATCTAAGTAATCTTAAGAAAGACTATGCAAATCTAGCAGGCATACTAAGGTAGACAAGCCATTTACTTAGCATACCACTGAAGATACTCTATGTTGCATTCTCACGCTGTGTGAAATGTTTTCAAGTAGCAGAGGATTTATGATTAAATTAGGGAGAGTACAAACCAGCTCATCGTGAGACATTGTCAGCTTTTTAAAAATTTAAGGCATGCTAGGAGAAAATAGAACATAAAACTAATGAACTCAGAGCTTACACGGACACAAACTCACAGAACATAGCAAAACTTTAGTCTGGTCACTTCACTCCTAATCAATGTCAACTTTACAATAACCACAAAAAGACAAAGGACTAGCATTGCAACCACATTTATGTTATTGAGTATACACAGAATTGTTTCTGTTGTTATTAGCTGTCGTGCATGCTTACTAAAATTACTATGGGGGATGATGAACAGGTCTATTAATATTCACTGGATCCCACACGTGACCAAATGTATATTGTGATACCCTCTATACATTGAAGGAAGTGTAGACTTCTGAAAAAGGCCCCTGCATCTCACTGGATGCACTTGTTGTGAATGTCCAGTGTCACGTGGCATTTAATTGTTAGCATCATCATCACTCTGAAATGGAAGTCTGTGAGTGAGGATGAGCACCAGAGCAATCACTGATTCCGTAGTAAAAATGAACAAACAGACCGAACTGCTCATCATGAAAATACAGCTACAAGTCCCTAAGCCTCTGGCTATGTTCTTATAAGTTAGAACTTAAGATTTCCTAAGGTCCCCTGACTTATCCCTAACTTCTGTAGATAATGATTTTTTTTTCGTTCTTGGTTGTTATATTTCTATATATGTTAAATTTTGTTTTTAAAAATCTAAAATCAGCCGGGCGGTGGTGGCGCACGCCTTTAATCCCAGCACTTGGGAGGCAGAGCCAGGCAGATCTCTGTGAGTTCAAGGCCAACCTGTGCTACCAAGTGAGCTCCAGGAAAGGCGCAAAGCTACGCAGAGGAACCCTGTCTTGAAAAACCAAAAAAAGAAAAAAAAATCTAAAATCATCTTTATACAAAAACAACCATACCAAAGAACAGCAATTTTATTTGTACATTATTGTTATTGATATTGTTAACCAATGTGTTAAAAGAAGGCATTAAAACTGCAGTTAACTACTATGACTAAAGTATCTTCTACAGATATATTAGAATATATTAGGAATATATCTATATACTTATACAAAGCATGTAATAACAATTAATGAAAAAGAGGCCATGGATTTGAAAGTCATCATGGATTTATATACAGGGAAGTTTGTAGGGAATAAAGGCAAAAGGGTAAAAGATAATCATATTATTTTCTGAAAAACAAAATAATGCTTGGATAGTGAAAAAATTTAATTTCAAGCCCTGCTCCAAATATACCCAATATGCATACAGTATCTCAGTGTCATGATGATAAATAAATAATTCAAGAGGTATTTATTTAGAAAACTAATGCTTAAAATATGTGTATATTCTCAGTAAGTCTGCATTTTTTGTGAGTGGTATGTGTTGTTGCTCACATGTCTGCATTCAGGTTGCCTACACTTTTGTTTCTTGGGTGCAATTTGTAGTCATAAAATATTTTCTTCATTATTAATGTAGGAATTTGTGTTTGGAAAAATGCTGTCCTTTCCCTACACTATTATCCCTATTCAATCATCACTATAACTATTCCATCTGAAGTTCATTTACTTGCTCTTTATTAACAACTGATTTCATTCAAGGCACCCTGTGTGTACATGGATATGGGGCCATCCATTGAACATAGGAAACCACTTAGTGGAAGTGACCCAGAGAACATATGAACCTTTTCCTTCCATTAGCTCATTAAATGTTAACAGCCATTCTGATAAGGGTTGGAATTCTTGAGTCCTCTCCGTAGCCATTTTGGGATTGTGCATGTAATACCAGCTTTTGAGAATTCATGAGGGCAACTGTGCTTCAGATACTGGCTTGATATAGGTGTATATTACTACAAGCTGATAGAGATAGTGTCTCTCCCAGAACTGGAATTTACCAAAAGTCTAGCCTAGCTGTCCACTAAAATTCAGAGAACTTACTGACACCACCCCTCCCTCATGGCCTGGGATTGCATGCTCATACCAATATGCCTGTTTTTTAATATGAGAATTCTAGAACTAAATCTGAGGGGCTCATATTACCAAGCAAGCATGTTGTAGTCATCTATCTAGCTCTCCATATTATAACCTTAAAAATAAAACATAAAATAATAATGTATTCAAGGACCACACCAGGTTCATTTTATATAATCATCTATTCTTCTTCCTGCCTACCTCAAATTCTGTCCTCTATGTTTTTCCAGTTTCAACTTTTGGTTTTCTGAATACTTGACTGAAACCTTAGAAACGGGCAAGTATCCAGGCTGCTCTTCTCTGATTCCCACACATAAAATGGAGCAAAAGCAACAGAGAGGACTCTACTATAGGTTTTGTCACAAAATTCCATCAAAATCCTCATCTTTCTTTCTCTATTTTTCCATTAAGTTCCATTTAAGAATCTCTTACTGTATTAAGGTCTTAGGGAGAATTCCCTATGTCATTCATATTGTTATTCTTTTCACTCCTTACTACCATTATGTGTTAATGTAAACCTTGTAGCTAACACTACTATAAAATATCAAAGAAAAACCATGGCTTTACCAACTTTTTCAAATGTTATAATTTGTCAAATCTTAGCCCCTATTAGGGTATTAGTGGCTTAGTGTTCAAAGCTACATCTGAATATTTCACTGTATCTTTCGTGCCCCCATAGGCTATTCAAAACCAAGAAGTCAGCACTAAACATATTTTCATAAATTAGCCACATAATGTACACAGCATGAAATAGATATACATATTTTCTTTATGTAAGAGAAATAGTAATTAATAAAAAGTGATAATCATTTTGATATTTAATAGATCAGACATATTATAGTAAAGTGATGGAAAAAGTGTGGAAATAATCTAAATAAAGTACTCATGTATGAAACTATCAACTAAATCAAAAAAGCTTGCACACACAAACACATATGAAAGAAATTAAAATGGAATCACCCTGTATTTGGAGAGAGATTGTCATTTTTACCACAGTTATATATCACATGCCATAAAGTCATATCAGGAATAACTCTGGTGCCAGGAACGAGTTATTTTGTTGAGTTGTTTGTTGGCCACAGGTATCCTATAGTCTCCTACTCAGGTATAACACACCACTTCCTAATCTATGGTTAAATATCAACAACCTGATGGTAAGACCCTATTGCTGAACATACAATTCACATGGGTCATCAAAAAGCCAAAATTAACCTGGTGACCAATTAGAAGTTTCACTGCTACTGACTACATTTAATAAGACTGCAATGAATTCTGTATGTAACTGGAGGAAAAAAGAAATCTTCAATATCATGAGCTATATAACCTACAACAAAAAATAGTGAGCAATCTTCAAGATATGTTGTTTCCAACATAGCATAAATATTATGGTAGTAATCAACACTTTTAATTAGAATTATGATCAACCCCATGAAATGGAAGCCATACCTCACACTGCTAAAGTAGTCAACATCCTGAAACTTGATGGATCGCATGACTTCGAAAAACCTTCCTGCACTTACTCTGATAAGGAAACATAGAAATAAAATGAGTCTACTGAAACATTGCTATATGGCCAGATGTGCATCACTTTCATCAGAAAGGCTTCTTCTTGCACTAGATAGGAAATAACACAGAGATACTCAAATGGGATATGAATAGAAAATAAGAGATTTGGAGTAATAGGTCCTAAATTGGATATTCATCAAACCCTTCCCCTCAAGCCTATGTTGAAAAGGAGACAGAGAATTTGTAACAGGGCCAGAAGTGGTGGGTGACTCCAAGGAAATAATTTGTTTTGTTTTGTTTTTTAATAATAGCATCTGAGCCTCTGTTTACCCAAACTGAATTTCAGGATTTCAATAATTACATAATGTTGCTAACATGAAGCACTTTGCACAATGTGTGAACCATGCATTGTGGGTGGGTGTAAACTCTACACTTGCCTTGTGCATAAGGATATGCTAAGATATTTCCTGTGGCCCTAAGAAGCCTTTTAATGGAAAGGCTTATGCCAGACAGGCTGAGTCTGAGAAAGCTTTAGCACCTTGGAGAATTAGTTAATCAACCCAGGATCTCCTGGGATTTTTTTCCTACAATGTCAAAACACTATGTGATTACTTTAAAACTATTAGAGATTTCCATCTTAATTATTTATATTTTTTGTAGAAATGATGGTATTTACCATTATTTACAATGCAGGGAGGATGTATTTGAGGCATAGAGATGTTTGTTTCAGATACTTGTAAATCCTCTGAAAATTAAGGTATCATATAAGGAATACATCTGGTTAATTGAAAACCTACCATCCTTCAAGAAAGTATTTATTTTTAAGAAAACCTAAAAGATTCCACCTTTAATAAATTCTTTATAAGGAAATGTAGACTCATTTTCTTAGCCAGATCCAGCAGAGGGCATGATGCTGCCACTAAAGCTAGCTGGCTATACGCTCTACTCAGAACACTGCAACTCCCTAGCAGGGGAAAGAGAATTTTCCTAGAATCAGGGCAGTCCTCACTTTCTGACAGGAATCTGAGTAAGTTTGTCATCAGCTTGAAACCAGAATTTGTAAGTCATGGCTTTGGAGATGTGAGAGGAAATTTGCTTAGAGCATGTTCACATTCTTTTTGGGAATACAAAATCTTTTTTTAATTGAAAATAGATTCTTTTTTCATACAATATATTCCAACCACAATTCCCCCACCACACTCCTTCCAGCTCTTCATCACCTCCTCTCTTTCCTGGACACACTCTCGCCTGTCTCCCTTCAGAAAACTACAGTTCTCTAAGAGACAACAATCAAATAGGACAGAACAAAAATTCAGTAAGTCAAGGCAACAGTCCTTACAATGAGGATGGACAAGGCAACCCCATGGGAGGAAAAGAGTCACAAGATGATACAAAAGAGTCAAAGTTACACATGTTCCCACAGTGATGTGTCCCACAAAAAAATACCAAGCTGACAGTCACAACATATATGCAGAAGACCTGGTGCAGACAATGCAGGCCCCGTGTTTGTCACTTAAGACTGTGAGCCCACAGGCATGCTGCTCAGTTGATTCCATTGGCCCTGTCCTCCTAGTGTCCTCAAAACCCTCCGACTCCTACAATCTTCCTGCCCACTCTTCATGGGATTCACCAAGCTTAGAGGACAGGGAACCAATGGAGACCTCCAATTTAGATTCTCTCTCTGCATAATGTGTGGCCATGGGTATCTGCACTCATTCACATATGCTACTATAGGAAGCCTCTCTGATGATGCGTGGACAGGGCACAGAACATCATTAGAAACCAATTCATTTGTTAGACAAGTCACATTTAGTTCTACCCTAGGACTGTGGGCTATCCAGTGTCTTTTCACTGACCATCCAAGCAGTGTCAGGCAAGGGTTCCTCCTCCTAGAGTTGCCCTCAAATTAAATTCAACATTGGTTGGCCATTCCCACAAGTTCTGCCTGACCATTGCGCCAGCACATCTTGCAGTGAGGACATGTTGCATAGTAAAGATTTTGTGGCTAGTTTGGTGTCTAACTCTTTCTTTTAGTAGCATGCACAGTACCTTCCCATACCAAAGAGACTAGAATGCAGGTGTGAAGGCTTCATGCAGGCACTAGCTTGACCTCTCCATGTTCAATGAGCTGTGAGGATGTTGCCCTCAGCAATTGAGCCCTCTTGTCAATTTGCAGAGTGTTATCCTCTGTCCGAGCATCAGCCTGGGTTCTTTGAGGTTCTTCGCAAGGACTTAGATTACTTCTCAATGTCTCAGTTTGGCTGAGTATGTACATAAAAATAAAGAACAGATTTAGAACCAATCATGAGAGAGATCTAAATCCTAGAAAGGGAAATCAAAACCTGCTACAAACTGGGTGACTTCTATCATAGCTGCTATTTCTTCGAACTTACCTCTATCCCATTATATTGCACTAAAAATAGGGAAAGTGAAAGCAGAAAGATGAGGAAAATGCAATATACTCTGAGTTTTGCTGCAATTGACAACAGGCAAAATCATCCAAGGGAGTTGAGCATGTGTCTGGCTGCTTTGGACTCTATCATGGACTTCTACAGGAAGGCCTCCATTTCTTTCAGGGCTGTCTTGATTAATAACTTGACGTCCAAGTGCACACATTTACGGGAATAAGAGATAAACAGAGGACTCTCATATATATAGTGCACACAACAGTTCTGACCAAATCCTCACTCCTGTACATTCTACTATCCAGTCAGTTCTAATTTAGAGTTTCTTATGATAAGAGGTACAATATTATGATGTGTTCTCTTTCACTTTACTACAATGTGAGTTCATTTAAGGACCTGTGTATGCAGGGATTTGGAACTATGTACTGGAACATAGGTAACCTCCTAGGGAATGCATCTCTGAAGATATGTGGCCTTCCCTCGTCCATCAACCTATCAATTGTCAATAGCTGTAAAGATAGAGGTAGGATTCATGAGTCTTTCTAATTGCTATACTAGGATTTTTGCTGGTGTGATCTGGGAGAAAAAGTTTGCATGCAACACCAGGTATTGGCAGCCTGTGTGTCCAACTGTACTGAAATATCCACCATATAATCTTTTGATGCAAGTGTCTACTATTTCTGCCTCTTTGAGGAAGTGTATCTCCTGGACTGGAATTTGCCAAGTAGAAAGAGTCTCCTATAGCTTGCAGATTTGTATTTCTTCAACTGCATACATCCATGTAATATTAATGGAAACATTGCTTGATAACATTGCTACAAAACTTCAATATAAACATCATGATTTCATCAACTTTCACTAGTGTCATCGTTTTCAGTATTTTAACTCTTACTAGCATATAAGTGACTTGGTATCACGAAGCCACACATGAATAATTTATGTAATCTCTGGTAAATAATTGAGACTTATATCATGATCAAGTAGAGAATTTGTGCTTAAACTGTAAACCTAGCCAAGTACCCATGCCTGTGGATATCATGGACTCTGGAAGACAAACTACCTCTATCAATTTTCAGAAACAATTTAATTCCTAAGTTTTAAATGTAGATCCTTATACCTACAGAAATAAACCCTGAAACAAAGATGGAGTCTGTTTTGTGATAACAAACTACACCTGTACCTGGGAGTTATATTGTAGAATATATATATATATATATATATATATATATATATCCAGTGACATTTTTTTGAATAAGTCACTGTCAATTGTTCTTTGCAATTTGAGCAGTTGTGGAATTCTGTAATGGTCTCTGTCTGCTGGCTAAATAGTTTCTTTAATGAGAGTGACAGCTAAAGTTTTCTATAGGTATAAGGATGTGTATTTAAAACTTAGTTATTTTTGAGTCTTGTTTTCATTAAATATACATGTATGTGTGTTTGATTTATATGTATATATACCATATACATGTATGTATATATACCACACACATATGCATATATATATATATACATATACCATATAATACACACACACACACACACACACACACACACACACACACACACACATATATATATATATATATATATATATATATATATATATATGTATGAAGCAATATCTATATGATCTTCTTGGTTTTTTGTTTGGCTGTTTTGATTCTTACATTTTTTTGCTTTGTTATTTTTTCTGGGGGTGGGTAGAGAAAAAGAAAGAGAGGGAGATGGGAGAGAGAGTAAGACAGATAGCTCACATTTAAGAGAATTTGAAGTTAGGTTGATAGGGAAGTGAGGAGAATATAGAATATATGAAGTGGAAGATAGAATATAATTACATAATATTGAAAGAATAAAATGTAAAAAATTTAAAACATGTACAAAGTAACACAAACTAAACAATACAATATGTAGGATTATTTTATACACGGACCAGGTAAATGTGACTTAAATATAAAGGCTTACTTTAACTTTCATAAACAGATCATGCAGTGCACTACATTAATAAATGACAAAACAAACATGATCATCTCAAAGTACAGAGAAAAGTATTTCAGAATCCCCAGTGACCTTCATGATTTGAATAAAAACTAAAATATTAGTTAAAGAGATGATAGTTCAAAAACTTAATTAAAAATACCTGATATGCAGATATAAAATGCATCAGTATATCTGCAGTTTTAAAGATAATCCAATAATATCTTCTATCACCACTTCTGTTGAACATTGTATCCTCAGGGAAGTTATTAGAGGACAGGAATACTGAACATTATCTATCTTAAATATGTGATGCTTAAGGTAAAGAATGTAATTTACAAGTTTTGTGAGGACATATATTTATGCAAAGAACACCACGAGTTATAAGTGTATGGTTAGATTTAAAGATAATTAAACAAACTTGTAATTGAGAAAATATAAATTTTCAACTGAATTTTATCAAGCAATGTAAGTTAAAGTTGAAAATAAAAAAGAAGATTGTTTTGCAATACCATCATCAGAATCTGATGACCTTCATCCCTTGGGAGCTTCATATGATCCTGAGATGAAGCACGGCTTCAGTGGTGAGTTTGAGATCCTGGTGGGCAGCACAGTGAGACTCTGTATCAGAAGTACATGACACATTAAAAGAACACATGGGAATAAGCTTATCTTATGTATACTTTAAACTACAAACACAAGAGTAAATATCCATAAAAATTTTCAAAAATTGAACTGAACAGTATCTACAGAGAAATTATGTAAAGGAAATAATGAAATTCTTCCAAGGAAACAAAAATTAAAAAGGTAATGTTTTCCTATGTGAAAACACAATAAATTATAACACACTTTCTTATACTTTAGGAATAAATATAATAAAATTACAAATAAATACTTAACATTTGAGATAACATACAATTAGCTATATCTGACTTGTTTACAAAACTTTCATGTTCCAATTTTTAAAATTCAATTTTCTTCTTCTTAACATAACACTCCCTTATGTTAAGAATATACTTTTTCAAATGTTTCTTTCTCATATCTGTGTTTTGCACTATAGTTGCATTACTTTAGTTGGAAATTGAATTGCTTATGAAAATCTCTTTCTTGAACTGAACATATATGTAAATCCCTCAGTTATTCAGATGGCAAATCAGTTTAAGTTCATTTATTAAGTTTATTCAGATAGCAGAGATTAATTAGGAATTCTATACTGTGAAAATTTGTTTTAGTACTAACACCACAATGATAAAATAGCAGTTAATACCAGAGTCTTTATAACAGTTGAATTGTTAGCAGAGTTGGATAAGAGTTACAGACATTTAAATTTTTCAGATTCATTGATTATAATCTCACTATTGTGAAGAAGTCCAAATTCCCCGAACCTACTAGATATTAGAATCATACCATTCCAAAGCATTGATATTTTAATATTGATCCTATTGTCCTACTCATCTAAAATTTATAAGGGAGTCCAAAATAGCCAACTTTGACCTAACAACCAGAAATCAAGAATAAAGGATTCAGAGTTTGAGACATGTTGTCTATATTCAAAGTATTTACAGCCAAGAGACTCTCTAAATGTTATATTGTTAAAAAATACTTGGATGGAATAAAATTTAGTACTAAAAAATTAAGAGAGTCTTCGTGGTACATGTCTTTAATCCTAGGACAAAATGGTCAGACTCAGGTGTAACTCCATGATTGAAGCCTGCCTGCTCTACATGGGAGTCATCAGTCCATTCCAGCCAATATAATCAGTCCTTGTCTCAAAATGGAGAGACTTTACATATCATATGTTTTAATGTAGATATGTACTTATTGGTTCATGTGTCTATGGATGTGAAGTGTGTGCACAAGAATGTAGAGGCAAGAGGCCAACTTCACATGTCTTCCTAATCTGATCTTCCACTTATTTTTTGAGATAGTATATCATTAAATTCATGTATCAAAAATATATAGAGACTTGCAATCCCAGAATGGGATTACAGATAAACAAATGTCATACTGAATTATTATTCTTTTTGTATATATGCAGATTCAAATTGTCTGAAGACTAGTCCTGCTCCCCAGTATGCAGATTATAAACTAATTTATTTATTTCCCCATTTTGATAACTTACATATAAGGACACATTGCTAAAAACGTTATGTGTGTATATATATATATATATATATATATATATATATATATATATATATACAAAATCATGATATGTTGCAATAAATACAAGGTCAGCATTTTTGAAATATGCATTATAGATTCCAAATGTCTATAATCCTGAGATAGACTACAGGAATCAATAGGTTATATAGATAATTAGAGAAGAATATTTGTAAAATAAATTAAAATGCCAATAGAATAAAGATGGCAGAACTATCAAGTTATTGTACAATGTACAATGAACTCTGTGTCCTCAGCATCCTGAAGTCTATGTTTCATTTATTTTATTGTAATTTCATGTATGAGTACTGTATTTATAGAATTTCTACTTCTCTCTTTATTACTTCAAAATCCTCCTCCATGGACCACTCACTTGTTTCTCTGTTTAGGAATCCAGATTGAGATCCATGAAGGATATCAGCATTGAGACTCATCTGCCCTTGTCTCCATTCAAGGTCATGTGGTGGTATTGTGGACTAACTTCCTGTTGAACAAAGGTTTTTAAATTTTTAAAAGAATAATAACTTTCCTCTATAATCTTTTTTAAAGAGAATGAACAAAACATAAATTAAAGGGTTTCAAACAAACTATATAACAGTTACAAAAATTGAAGACAAATATGAATTAAAAATATTGAGAAGGTTTGGATAGATGGATCAACCATTAAGAACAGTGGCTGATGTTCCAGAGTACACTAGTTTGATTCCTACTACCTAGATAGTACTTAATAAAGGTCTGCAGCTTCATAGCAGTGGATCCTACAATACTTTCTGGCCATTAAGTGGTACAAAATGGCAGGTATTAAAATATATTCCTGAAAGCCAAGTACTCACATACATAAAATTCAAATAATTATTTAATAAATGAGTACATAATAAAACTTCTATATATACTGCTGAAACAAAGACAACAAAAGAGGAGAAAAATAAAAACAAGTAATAAATGGGCACATAAAAAACATTCTTTTAATATTAAAATAGTTATGTTGTACTACACATATAGAAAATCTATGTGTCATTAGCTAAAGGGAGGGACAGGATATCCTTCACAAATCCACAACCATTTCATAGGAAAACACTCAGCAAATTAGGTAGAGAAATTACTTTTTAAAACTTAAATGTCATCAGAAAAAAATCATAGGCATAGTTTTATCTCCAAAGGCTCATTCTTCCAGATTAAACAAACAAAGGAACAAAACAAAGCAACAAACAAATGTGGATTTTCTGCATATTTCTACTCAATATTTGTTTTAAGCTACTTTCAGTTGTACCAGGTGAGGACATATTTACTGTGGGCCTTTGGTTACTGATAAACACATAATAATATACCTACAAGAAAATGACAACTTGTAAGTATAAAAATCATAAGAACCCCACAAAATTCCTTTTAAAATATAAAGAGAACTTGTTACTGCTGCAACTTATATTATCAAAGTAAATGACCAGTTGCATTTCTACAAAAATGATTAATTCACAAAACAAATATTTACTAAAGGAATATATGCCACTCTTAATTATGTTCCTTCATCACAGCTTACTAGATCATTAAGCAGAAGAATCACATGAGTGTAAGAGTTGGATACTTTCCTGGGCAACATAGTAAGAGCTCCAGTGAGAACAGTGCTGTATAAAGTAATGTAAAAGGGATTGAATGCAATTTTAAAATACATTGACCACTGGTAAGGAAAGATTCTTCAACTGAGTCTGGACTATTTTTTTAATCTATTTTACTACTATGTACATTTTTCTGGAGAGGTCTTTTTGGCAATGACAGGACAGATATTTAAAAAGTCACATAAATTCCTTGAGAAATTTCATTTCTAAGCTATGAAATTATCTCTGCCAGCTGTGATAAGGATGATGACTTTGTAAGGGGCTGACAGAAGAATTTTTAAGAAAGTATTTGTAATATCTAAGCATATTTTCATTGTGAATGTGTTCTACCTAATAAATCATCCCTATCAATTTAAAAATATAGTGCTATTAGTAGAATAAAAGACTTTTCTTTAAAAATTTGATAGAAGAGGTCTTCAGACTAAGTTCCAGGACAGGTTTACAAAGCATCCTGTTTTGAAAAATAAAACAAAAAAAATTGATAGAAGAGATACATCAAATTTCATATGTAGAACCAAGAAAGGTCAGCTATAATTTTCTCTAGAACAATAAAACATTCAAATATTATTTCATTAATGAAATAAAATTGATTTGATCCCTATCTGGTGATTGGTACATTAAAACATTTACCAGACTATCACAATAACTATATTAATGACATGATGAAGTCTTGTTGTTTTTATGTTGAATGGCATCCATTTAAATATGACTTAACAGTTATAAAGGAAGAACAGAACATTCAACCTGGTCTGCTTCCTGCAATTTTCTTGAAGATGTCCATGAAGTAATTCAGGTTATTCAACTGTTACCTCTTGATTAGCTTCCTAGGGAAAGATGAAAGAGAACATTTATTGGCGATATTTCTTTATCACACATTTCTTTTATCACACACCTGCACATAGAACAGCATCTTCTTAGTTACAATGTGACTTCCTGGATCCTTCTAAATGCATTTAACCCTGTGTTCAAAAGGAAGGCCCAAGTAATCTCAGGAAAGGCTTTGGTACTCAACACTTGCATACTCATGGTTTCCCTATAATTTCTTTCCCTTATGTCCTGGTCTTTTTTTCTGTTGTTCTGATAAAATATTGGCCAACAACAAGTTGAGGGGTGTAGATTGGCCTTTTGTTTTTTTGTTCTTTCTTTTTTTTTTACCATGTAAAGTCTTTCATTATGGAAATTCAACTTTGTAACTCAATGCATATATTTGCAGGCTGGGACAAAAGCAGAGAGCATGGTAATCTCCCCCACACCTTTAGCTTGCTCTTTGGCAAAACGCATGGCCATCTCTCCAACACTTTCACCATCTACATTACAGTGGCCCTCCAACATCAAGTATCAATCAAGAAATGCCTCACAGACATGCTCATAGGATAATGTGATGAAGGCAGTTTATTAACTAAGGAACCTTTTACCCAGTTCACCCTGGGAGTTTGTATTTAATTGACAAAAACTAACCAGCATGCCTTCCCATTCCTTCATCCTTTCATTATCTTTCCTTCCTCTCTCCCTCTATTCCCATCTTTGTCTCTCCCCTTACATACCACATTTCCCCTCTCACATCATAGACCTGCACGTACACACACACCTGCCTATACAAGCCCCCATACTCACACAACATACCACACCATTCCACTCCACAAGCTTACAAATAGGTCAACATATCAGTTTTCTTATTCATCTCCTTCTATTACCTATTTATTTTATCACCCTGCCATGTTTACTCTCACATGCTTTTGATGTGCCTAAGTGATGTGGCTAATGCAGTGCCTAAAGTCGGGATGATCCTCCTTCTTTATTGAGCTGCTCTTCTGCTTCACACATGACCAGCACTCTGATCATCTGTCTGTTGTAGCCCACTAGGTTTCCTAGGGGCTGTACCCAGCAGGACTGTATAAGGGGCTGATTGGACCATGGGTCTGAGTATCAGATGTTTGTAAGGATGCACATTTGATTTAACTAGCAAGGGGGAGGTCTTTTGCTCCACCCTTTGGCATTGTTATAAACAGACCTTTGGAATAAAGTTCTGGGCCGGTGGATAAGGATCCAGGCCCACTCAAGTATATCCTGTGTTTTCTCTCTGTTTCTCTCCCCTTTTTATTTCTGACTAAATCCCTTATTCCTCATTCCTTAAGAGTCCCTTGGGTAAATAAATGTGGGGGCAGGTCCACCACAGATGGTACTACTGAACACAGACAAAGAAAAGGACATTTGTCCCTGTTCTCTTGAAGTTCTTGTGGATAAGTAAAACTTGGTGAGAATAAAGTGGACATCAGTGAGACATGGATGACAGTTCTTTAAATGTAAATATGGAGACGCTATCCTGAATATCAGTATGGCATTAAGCCATCCACCAGGGCAAAGAATTCTCTCATGAGTGTAATAAATATCCACAAACATTCTGTACCATCTGGTGAGATCCAGGTTTGTCTTCTTGCAGAATCACTAATGTAGAAAAAATAAAGCGTAAAAAATATTTAGAGAACACACATAAAAAATCTGACTCGAACAAAAAAAAAAGGAAGAATCAAGTAGGTAGGCATCAATGAGTTACATGAACACTAGAGGGGAGTGTTGTAAAGATTTAAAAGCTGTGGGGTTTGCTGCCCCTCCCTACAAATATCATTGTTCCCAGGAAGTACCAGATCAGATTTGCTTATTAAACAAACAGCAGTTTTTGCATCTAATTTGGTGTTGTTCCAAGGCTATTATTATAATTATAGGAACATTGATTCCAAAATTCACTATATAATAAGCATGGGCATCAGAAAATAATTCTGATATGCCCATTTAATATGCTGTCCTTCTCTACTTAACTACTAAGGAAAGGGAGTGAGTTTTGGTGCTCCATGACAAAAATGGAACAGAAAGTAGTCTTATCATTCCATATTTGCCAATCACATTCTAAGATTTTTTTTTTATCTGTGAAGTGTGTGTGTGTGTGTGTGTGTGTGTGTGTGTGTGTGTGTATGTATACCCATGTCCATTTAGGCCCCTGCACAGTGGGAGGATCTTGACCTATGATGTGGTATCACTTTATATGATTTTAATGATGTATTTCCCCAAATTCTGTGGACCAGTTTCTGTGATTTCTCACAGATGGTTTAGTAGGTAGCAACTAACCCAATTCCTTATGTTCTCAGTATCTGGGCACTACATAGCATAGGTTACTGTGCCCAATGTATCACATTGAGACAAATATATGTCATATGTTTTCTCTTAATCCTGTGCAAGTATGACTGACTGACTTCCATTTGTCACTAACAGATTCTGATTTCTAGTTATAATCCATTTATGCCTTTTTACTGACAGTCCAAATTGCCACAATTCTGTGTGAAGTATATGATGTAGGAATATGTTTGCGTTATACAGAATGACAACACACCCATAAATGTAAGACGAGATGAATGGTATCATATCCTTGTTACAGGACCTCACACACTTGTTACAGGGTAGAATCCTCTGGCTCCTTTATACGCAATGATTTTCCACCTGTGTAGAGCACAATAAAATTTATTATCTTTCTTCATTGTCAAAAATGTGATATCTAAATATTTGTTTTTATGTGTTACAAGCAATGATTTACCCAAGTTCCCATGTTAATAATAATTTTTCTGATGATTTTATTAAGGGTGAATACATGCTCCCAACATTTCCTTTTCTATGCTGTTTGACCAAGTGTGAAAAATACAGTATCTGAATGTGACACTGAATAGATAGCCTCAGTAAATACTTAATGCATTCTGTATAATAAAAGAAACTAGTTATGAATTAGTTTATGATACAGATTAAGGTACAGTTATAACTTGAAATTTTAAAGAAGACATGCATCAAGAATACACTAGTACGTCAGGCGTTGGTGGTGCATGCCTTTAATACCAGCACTTGGGAGGCAGAGCCAGGCAGAACTCTGTGAGTTCCAGGCCAGCCTGGTCTATAGAGAAAGACTCAGGACAGGCACCAAAACTACACAGAGAAACCCTGTCTTGAAAAACAAAAAAAAATTCACTAGTGCATAAACATGACTTATGTTTCCACTTGTGGATATTTCCAGTCATGGTAGTAAATTCTGATTATAATTGTCCTTGGAAATCCTACATCAATGCAAGGGGCAGGTGAGATCCTGAACTCTTTCAACTCTGTTTGGACTTTTGAGCCATTAACTTAGCATTTTCTCTGCATTTCTTCCAGGATGTGCTATCTTCCAAATATGCAAAGTAAGAACACCACACATACTGCCTGCGCTTATGATCACTGTTCTTTCCATCATTGAAGATCTATGGTCCTAGAACCTAGGGTCTTCATTACTGTTATAAATGTGTGGGGAATGTAGCCCATGATATGTTGTTGTCAAAATAATGATGCTGTCTTTGTAGATGACCTTGTTTCACAGGGTGAATTCCACAGTTTTGCAGGCTTTGTTAACATGGTTCATATACACAGCCCAAGTACTTTCTAGCAGAGAGCAATGAATATAAACAGACTGTAAAAAGAGTGACCATGCACAGTCCTGTATGGATCTGTGTTTATCCATATCATGTTTATCATCTTCTTTCAGTTACCATCCTAGTTCCCTGAAGGAGACTGGTGCATGAGTTTGTCCTTAGTTCTTTATTTATGCACTAGAACCACCTTGCCTGTTTACAACACATTCTAATTAAATAATTTTACTGATTTATGAAAACTGTGGTGTCCAAATGGTCACCCTTTGTACTGTTATTGACAAAATGACTACAATCCCATTTTCAATTTCTCTCTTTTTTTAACAGTTTAAAGAACTAGTTTACAATCAATGCAATATACTTTGTACACAGGTTTATTCTTGTCAAATGTACTTGCAAGATTTACAACACACTCAATATTTATCTACTTAGTAAAATGGATGCTTATAGTATGTTTTTTTTATAAATTAATGGGGTGATCCATTAACACATGCATGCATGTGTGAGTGTGTGTGTGTGTGTGTGTGTGTGTGTGTGTGTGTGTGCATGCGCATGCGCGCATGCCCGTGCCTGTGTCCGTCTCTCTGTTTGTATGTCCAGATAGTTTTTGCATATAAATAATTAAGGTTATAATTTTTTTTAAATTAAGTAATTATTTCTTAAATTTAAATGGGATACCATAAGATACTCTTATATTAGATATCATCACTACAGGATCACTCAGTTCATTGCCTGGGGTGGACAAAGAATTGAACATAGGAAAAGTCAGAATACTGAACGTCGGAGTGTATTTTATTGGGCCAAACATTGATCTTTACTATTTCTTAAATTTGATCCTTCTCATATTTTTGTTCACCTTGAAATATTTTTTAAAAAATAGTCAAAATTCAAATTTCTCTTCTTTTATCCAATACAATCACGTTGTCAGAAATGCAAGTGTAGCATCACTTTCTCACAGAATTCCAAAATGACATCAGTGGAATCCCAAAGGCTGTCAACCTACCCAGATACACAGCAAGACATAGAATAATATTAAAGAAAGCTATATAGAAAGGTAAAAGCCTGCAGGCAAAAAAATAAATTGGGATAATTTAAGAAAGCTGGCATAAAACAAGCCAATCTAAGACCAGGGATTCATAAGAAAGAATAAGTCTCTGTGTGATTAATTTGGGAGCTGAGTGAGTGGCCCCCAAAGAACCCTAAAAGCTAACCAAAAAACATACTACAAGGTCCTAACTTCTCCAAGCTCACACAAACAGGCAAATCCTCATTACTTCTGGTTGTTACTGGCAGCAGCTTGTCTAGAACCTGGCTGTGAGCTATTGCAAATTCACTTGAGCTTCGAAATATTAGCCATCTTAAAGTTAGCGTCACAAGCCTGGGGAAACTGTTAAGTATACTTTAGACACACTAAATTTATGTTCCTGGATTGACTGTTCTCATTCTGCAGAGAGAAGCCAGGTTTGCAGATACCCTGTCAGGCATTCTACCACTGAGCCATACCCTTGGGTCCTACAGTCATTTTTCCTTACCATTTTCTTCCCTTCTCTGACATCATCATGGGGAACTATAGAACCTAGTGTCATTGTCAATGCCAGCAGAGTTCTTTGCACAGACAATGGGGGAAAAAAAACAGAGCCTGCAGTGGAGATGAGTCAGTCACGTGTGATGATGGGGCATCAGCAAGGCACAGCTATCATCTGCCAAGCAGGCCGGCCAATCAGACCCTGCTTCTTCTTCACAACCCCCTCAGAAACTACATCACATCCTATACGGTGCTCACCACACAGCAGGGCACAGGTAACCAACTATGCATCAGCACTATGATGCCTCTCTTTCTGAGATTTCTAAGGAAGCAAAGCACTAGTGTCTACTAGCCCTATTACTTCTGAACAAATATTTAACCCTCTCAGGACTTCCATCCCCAACAACAAAGGTTTCCTATACCAAGACAGAACCTGCTCTTCTATCTCAGTCATGCCACATCCTATTGAATTCTAGGACCTGACCACATTGTACTCAGAGCCCATTTACTTTTCAGGATATCAAAACCTTCCAGACTCCTTCAGGCTGAAGAAACAGAAAAACATGGAGGTCTCTCTTTGGCCAGACAGCCTAGTCATAAGTGGTTACACTTAGCTATCCACAGTTAATATGCCAAGGTCTGAGTGTGGGGTAAGAAGGGATTGAGTAGAGAAGTGATTGTCCACACTGACAATTCCAACTTGTATATAGAGGGAATCTGCACGATGCTACCCAAGTATTTGTTCCCTGGGCTCTATTCTCAGGCATATGCCTCCTTCTGGATTATTCAGGAAAAATCTCCTTTTAGATATACAAGTTCAGACCTACAGCTACATGGAAACAGAATATTCCTGCTCTCTAAACTCCTCCTGGAAGTGGAGACTGACGAGGGGTTCCAACTGTATTACTCATAGTGCTGTCTGTTTGCTCACTTAAAAGGGGCCCTCAAGATTACAAGGCAGACAGTTCCATATCCAAGTCTTTCTCCATGATTGTCAGTCAGTTGCATTAACTTGAGTAAACGTCATTCAAATCATGTATGCGAGTCCCCAAGAAAAGTTATTTGTGGGAGGATAATCAATTCAATATTTGCTGATGTCATTTCCTGAGGACAAAAAAATGAGTCATGTAGAAAATATAATTAACAAGACTATTCAGCATTAGTGAGGGATGAAATTGCTCCAAATCCTGAATTCTGCTAATTGCCCTTTGGTTCTGATGTTTCAGTACTTCCCTGTGTCCTCCCATTTTCAATCGTGTTCTTCTATAGCTTATAGCTGAAGACATAGCTAATTATTGAATTGCTCTAATGAGCCCAGTCCCTCATGTCCATAAAAAAAAGCACAGAGTGATTTTCCCTGTCAAAAGCTATTAGAAAACAAAAGCCTTTGAGTAAGGCTGTCCACAGAAATAAAGAGGATCTGAGGATCTTGCTCCCCTTTCAATTTCCTTCTCTTTTCTGTTCCTGTTTCTCTCATATTCATATCTATGTATACCTCTACAGCAACATATGCTCAACTTTACCAGAATTTGCTATTAATGCATCATTTTGTGGGGCAACTAAATGTCTGCCTTTGAAATTTATAAGTGTGCAATACTTGCATTGCAGCTACTGCTCTGTTGACTTGTCTCTACTGAATCTCAGTTGCCTATCAGGTAAGACCCTAAATTCTTCCCCTCTCAGATTTTCCACGAGAAGGGTAACTTGGAGAGACTAAAATTACATAGGACACACAAGGTCACCAGATAATATATGACATACGCAATTGGAAATGTTTCTGTGGCTGCAAGGAACAACTCAGAGAAAGCAGCGTACCTGCGTAAGCACACATGTCATACCACAGAGATGTGATTGGTGGGAACAAAATGCTAAACAAAGGGATACGTCTCAGTTGGTACTGTTGCACTGTCAAGATTGACAAGGAAATCTGGTTGGTAAACATCTTTCCATGAGGGTACAGAACACAAGTCTGACAATATAGAGAGCCAAATGATTTTTTTCAACACCCCCATGCCTTGCCTGACCTCATAGAAATAAACAGGCAGATGGAGAAAATGAGAACAAACTATACTAGCTACTGTTTGCCCAAGCATAATCACAATTCAAACATTATTGTAGAACCCACATTGGAAAATTGAACTTCTGAAACCCGTGAAGGCAGCAGGATGGTAACAAGTAGCATAGCCAACATTATACTGCTTTGCCTAACAGGGATATGAGAAACAGGTAAAACAGTGTCAGAGAGTCTCAGGGGGACATGTAAGAACTGTCTCTGCCGGAGCAGCTTTTCACAGGGGAGTGAAAGAATAGCACATACCTGATCTTTGTCAGAAAATGATTCCCACAGTACATCATCCTCCCTGCCGATGATGCAGAACTCTAGTACCAGGACAGGGATGACAAATCTTAAAGGAGAAGTGGCTTAAAAGGCAGGAACACATTTCCTGCACAGTAAACAGGAGCAGGTGACTCAGAGCAGTAGTAGGAGAAATCTCAGTACGCCCCTGCCTATGCTAAGCTTCCTTGGGCTGTCTCCTGCAGGTGTCAGGAACAGTCTTCCTTCTCTGGGGCAGTTTACTGTCAGGCTATGGCTAGATCAGGTACCAGCTGGTACCTGGAATCTAGCCAGGAGCCTGACTGGTAAAATCCCCAAGTGAAGACATTTTTATTAGCTCTATTTGCCTCTGATTGGAGGAGTATGTGCTCTCAAATAGACAATTGATTAAGAACCAATCAGAAGAGAGATCTCAAACCTAGGCATAGAAAGCGAAAGCCTGCTGTAACCTTGGTGATCTCCACCAGAGCTGCTGATTCATCTCTCACTCCCCCTCCCTGTCTGTTGCAACAGGAGCAGGGAAAGTGAAAGGGGAAGACAGGAAAAACGTAATTTACCCGGAAATCTAGCTAACATTAAGAATGGGGTCCGGTACATTAGGTTGAGGCAAGAGGAGGGATGAGAGGGGGATCTGTGGGTGGTATGTAAAATTAATAAAAAAATATTTTAATAAACACACACACACACACACACACACACACACACACACACACACACA